TAATATAACTATAAAATAAATCAGATACAAATCCAGTAAACTTTCACGTAAAATTAATTTTAATTTAATTTGAAATAAAATTCCGGTTTCTGCATTCTATTCTATTCTATTTAAGTTAGTTGAAATGAAAAGCTAACAGGAAATTAAATTGCCGGTTTAATATCTTATAAATGTACACACACACATACATACGTATGTACATAGATATATAATGGAATACATAATACAATGAATAGCTGATAAATAAGGCATTTACATATATCTACCGAAATTGTTCTCTTCTATGCATGCAGGAAAGTATATGTATGTATATATAAATAAATAGGCATGTAAAAGTGCTTGAAATATCTATAAAAACTAAATTGAGCACAGCAACTAGGTGCGTGTGTGTGTGCACATATACAAACACACACACATACTCATAGTACAAATATTTGAAGGCTTAAGAGATCTATGGCATAAGCACGAACTATACAAACACACACACACACACATGTACGAAATTCTTGTTCTTTTGTTTCACTTAAAATTTATGGGTCTTTCGCTCTTTGTTTCCTTTTATCGTGTTTAAGTCGTAACAAGCTTTCCATGCTTAACATTCCGAGTTTCGAATTCCGAATTCGAAATTTGGTAACGAGACGTAGTTTTAGCTATTATGGGGTGTGGCATCTGACATTTATCAAGATAAGGTATAAATTATAGGATTTCATGTAATTGCAGAGGTATACAAAGTATACATATGTATCTACATGCATATACAACTGTGTTCATGGAAATACAATAGTAATACTGCACTATACAAAGAATAGAGAGGAAAGAGTATTGTGCAATTCGAATTAATTCAATTGGTTCAATAAAAAGGAGAATACTTATCAAAGAATCTGTATATTGAAAAACAAAATCGATAATTGTAATGGAAATAGGTGTCAAAACATACCTTCCTCAGCTTAAAATTATAATCTCAATCAATTGATTCTCGATTCTCTATTTTATTTATCTATTTTCTGTTTGTATTAAATTAAGACAATATCCATTTTTTCTAAATTGCAAAAAAGTAACACATAATAAAGATTTTCATCTCAGACGATATAAACAGTTAGAAACCATCTAATTGTGGTATTTAGCAAGATGATAATAGCTCTTTTCTATTTGCTTATTAATTAACATCTGTTCAAGATTAGAAGTAATTAACATTTATGTGCATATGAACAGAAGTATATGGACAATTAATAACTTGCTTAACCTTATACTACTCTGCTGCTCATAAGAAACAAGCAATTAAGAGTGGTAAATTTTAATAAAACAAATAATAATAAAATAAATAATAATTTAATAAATTAAATAAATAGAAAATGAATAAAATAATAAACATATAAATATATTCGATCTTTAACATTAAATGACATTTAAACGACTGTATATTTTCATATATGATTATGATTTGATTATTAACTTCTTACTATAACAATCAATATGCATTTGCAATATGCAAATATCATCATAGGTTAATTTAAATAAAATAAATTTAAGATATTAAATAACTCCTATTACAGACATCCTAAATATGCGACAAATGTGTTCACAGAGCTAATGGACTCCTCTTAAGTTTATTCAATAAGCGCTTGTCTATGTGCACATGTATTTAAAATACAAATGCAGTTTGTCTTGATTTATTGGATTTGCTGCATCTTTTTCGGCTAGTTCCTTTTAATATTGTTATGTACCTGTTCGGCACGCACAAACACAGCGATAAGGAAACAAGGAAAGAGAGATAGATAGAGAGCACACACACACACACATGCTTCAACATATTTGTTTACATACATACATAGCACATATTTAGGTTGCCAAACTGAAAACGTTGCAGCTGTAGTTGAAGTGGGGCAAGAATTGCGGCTGCATTTTTAGCAAACTTATGTTTTAAATTTGGCGCTCTGATGTATGTACATATATATACATATGTAAGTATGTATTCATATAGGCGAGCACACTCACACACTGTGTACACTTGTCTATGCAAATACATATGTATATGCATACGTACTTATACATATATGTATGTATGCTCGGGTATATAAATACATACTTGCATAGTTTTACTAATCAAATAAAAATAGCATTTACGTTGTCCTCCTTTATTAATGAAATTGGCACAAAGCGAAACAAAACGAGCTACACACACATATCCACATACAAATATGCATGCATATGCATGAATGAATGTACAGTGGCCGACAGCTTAAGCGGGGGATTTGATTTGAACATAATAGCTTTAATTTATGTATACAAAACTAGATTTATACATACAATACAGATATTTATATGTATTTTTGTATATTTATTGATTTGCTTAAAATGTCTGGTATAAATTGGTCAAATTGGTTTCGTTTACATACAAATAATACATACAAATAAAATAAAACTAACAAAATTGTAGTTCACTATTTTAATTTCATGTTCAGTGTACATAAGTTATACATGAATATATATATACACATTAAGTTTCTTAACAGGTTTAAATAAAGTAAATTAAGAGCAACAAAGTATTTAATTGAGAGTGCAATTAGAAACTTTTTCGAGTTTTACGATTACAAAAAAACCCATTAGTTTCAGCATCTTTCAATTTCTCTTTCCCTCTTTTCCTGTTGAGCAAAGAGACAAATTTTTGTGCTGCATTCCAACAAGAACAAGATTGATTCAAATTTCCTACAAGCCTGATATTGCACCACTGTGCGTGCTGTTTACAATTCTTCACTTGTGCTTTGCTCGTCCATTCGTTCTCCCCCTCACACAAGCACAAGCGCACATACACAAACTTATACAAATACAATCAAATTCATGCTCTCTCGCTGTTGTTTTTATTGTATTTGTAGTCAGAGTGGCGCGCACAAGTTGGATTTCGTAGTATTCGTAGTATTTATGCACATACATACAAACATATATTTAACTATGTAAATGTGATTGTTCGTTCGTTCATATAATGCATAAGTGTTTGTATGGATGTATCGCAGCCTGTAAGTGTGTGTGTGTGTGTGTGTGTGCATTCAAGTAATGTAATGTTGTTATAAACTAATAAAAATAAAAATAAATATTTTCTCAAAACGACGAGGAAAACAAAACAAAAGTGAATAATAGCCAGCCCAACAACTACAACAATGACAAAATGGGTCGAAAGTGGGAGAAGTAAAATTGACTGCTTGGCTTATGGGCTGCAGAGGGGAAATAAAAGAGAAGGGAGAAACAAAACTACAATTCATTTTAGAAAAGAAAAAAAAAATAAGAGAGAAGAGAAGAATGCTTTTATGTAGCACTGGTGTGAGGGAAATAAGGAAAGGGAGTGCTATGGGTTAGTAGGTGGGTGGAGAGCTTAGGAGGGAGAAGATGGGGCAGGGGTAGGGTAGGGTAGGGTAGGGTAGGGCGGAGCAAGGGCACACAACTACACTGCGGAAGTTCATACACAGCATAAGCACGAAATATCCATGTTAACTGTATGTGTGTGTAAGCGCGCGGATATTGTGCAAGAACCGATTGAGGGACGGTTGCGGAAGAAAAACAGACTAAGGGAACAAAGCTTTTAAATAATAAAGCAAGCTGCCTCCATTACCCCAAAAGGCATTGTTAAAACATAACATCGACTGTCCGAATTTAATATTGATTGCAGATCATAGACAAAAATAATAAACAATTCCTGTGTGAGCTCTCAATTTTGTTTCTACACACAGTTTTTGTAAGCGCAGTTTATAAAATTCTACTTTTTTTTTTAATTTAGCATTACACAAAAGTTTATAGCATAACATTGCGACAAAAACAAAAACAACAGCTGAAATTAAACTGTTAGTGCACACTGTACTTCACTTCATTTGTTATCTCTCTCTCTCTCACTCTCTCCCTCTCTTTTGGTTCTACATGCGACTCTGCCGCTCTCTTCGTTGCCTACGCATTACACGTTGTTTTGCCACTCTCATTTGATAGTCGCACGGAATGTAGACTTACATATACATACATACATGCCAGCATGCTTGTGTGTGTGTGTGCGTGTACATGAATGTACACATTTATGTATTTAGTTAAATGAGAGTGGTTGGGGGTATGCAGAGCATTTTATAGAAAACATTATTTAATTACCAGTAATTTAAAATCCAACTGTGTAGTTTTGTTATCCATTTTGTTGTTGGTTTCTGCATTTGGCTGAATTTTATTTATACGTTTCACTTACATACACACTCACAAATTCACATACACACTTGCGCTGCGCACACAGGCACAATTTTAATATGCTCATACACACATACACGTACGTACGTATGTATTTTATTATTTCGATTTTTCTTTGCTTGTGTTTCGCGTTTCTTATACTTGCTCGCTACAGCGCAGCTCTTTTTTTTGTGTTATTTCATTTTCCTTATTTTTCTTTTGCCTTATTATACGTTAACGTTGACGGCTACTGCGGATGTCGTTGTTGCGGCTGCTTCTACTCAGCTTTTCTTTTTATTGACAACATTGAAATATTGTCATTGGTTTCACATTTTATTGCATAAATTAACAACATCAAATGATTTATGAATATTTGTACATTTAACTATTGCTGCCTGATTGCCACTTTCTGTGGCACACGCACGCACACACAACCACACACACTCACACCGAAGCGCGCTCAATGATGATCTGCTGCGTAGGAAAAATGTCTTAAGATTTGCTGTATTTCGTACTCCGATACGCGCAATATATACTTTAATTGTTTTCCATCGAGAGAAACCGATTATTTAATATTTTTACAAATATAATTAACTTTTTTAGGAGCGAAAACTGCAAAAAGCGACGGAATTTCCACTAAATGTTTTGTATGGTATTTTTTGGTGCATACGGAAACAGTGGCCATTTTTAGGTATTTTTATTACGATGACTGCCAACTATTTCTATTTTACAGAGCTGCCACATCGCACATTTATCGCTATCGTCATAGCTATCGCTACCACCATTCAATTTTATTTCCTAGCCCGTAATTTTGAAATTTTATTTCACATACAAAATTAACGCCATTTCAATCAAATTAAAAAACTATTTAAGATTTTGACTGCTGCTGAGCTTGCTTCTCCTTTTTGGCGGCTTCTGCCTCAGCTTCCAGTTTGTTGTACTTCTCAATCAATTTCTCCACATCGGGCTTCTCCAAAATGCTGTAGACAGTCGCATTGTTGATGCGCTGCAGGGTGGCCATTTCCACCTTCTCTGGGGTCAGCTTTGTGGTATCCAAAGTCTTGCTGAGCACCTTAATGGCCAGATCCTTGGCTTCTTCCAATTTTATGCTCTCCTTATCGGCTAACTCTTGCTTCAGCATAGAAATAGCTGCACCAAAGTTGTTGCCAATGCAAGTCGCCTTCCAGCCGCCATAGTTGCCACTGGGATCCGACTGGTACAGCTGATAACCATACTTGCTGTCCCATCCCATGTACAGCAACGAAACGCCGAACGGACGCTTGCCACCATATTGGGTGTACGCCTGCTTAATGTCACACAAATGAGAGACGAGCTGCTCGCATGGAATCACCTCGCCGTAGCTGAATTGGTAGCGCTGGGCGATGAGGCGCAGCTCTGAGGTCAACACATTTGCATCGGATGTTATGCCTGCCACGGAACAGACCATATTTCTGAAAGTTGAATTTATCAATTAACACTGTTTATAGACATTTACAATTATATATATAATTCTCTTACTCATTTAGACGGTAAATTTTCTCCGATGGAATCGCATTGTCGAGCAACTTGTTTGTGCTGCGGCACTCGGCTGCAAGCACAATTCCATCTTCTGCCAGAATACCGAGGCATGTGCCGGCATGCGATATAGCTTCCATGGCGTACTCCACTTGGTAGAGACGGCCCTCGGGCGAAAATATTGTTGTGCGAGAATCATAACGTCGAGCCTGAAAAAAATATGCAACAAATTATCGTAGCCGTGATTAGGCAAATTGCACATGTAAATGAAAACAGAACAACTTGTTTTTAATTTCAACTGAGAATTTAGTCTTCTTTTTGTATTCATACGAACTAAAAAGCAATTACCATTTTTTGTTAATTTTATGAATTTGTAGTTTATATTCTTTTGTAAATTCAGCAAATATGCGGCGTCGAGGTTTGTTTCTCTCAAATTATACTTGTCATCGCCGAGACCAGAGTTGTCGCCTTTTATTCATTTTTCTAATCGATAGAATTAAAAATGCCGATAATTTTAATACCTCAACATATAGAAAATATTTAACATATATACGTTGTTCCTCATGTTATTAAAATCAATAAAATGTGTTCTTAAAAAAGACATAGCGTAAAAAATAGTTTAGCCACATATTCGATATTTTCGATATTTAGTGAAAAACTGTATCGATATAATAAAATTTAGACAGGGTCGGCTCCAACATTATATGATTTTGACAGCTCACACTCAATGAGCGCCATTTTTAAACTAAGGCTCAAACGTTTAACGTCTAGCGGTTTTAATTTAAATAGGTTTTTAAATATTCGAAATATTTATATCAATAAATATAGTGTTTCTGAGCTAAATCAAAATGATTATTTGAGTACAATATTATTGGATTAATTATTTAAATTTAATTGCTAATTTTTTAATTTTTGTGTATTTCTCCACTCATTAATTCTGTTAGGAATAACATAGGAAATATTTAAAAGCGCTGTGTTTTTCATATAAAGATGTTTTGTTTTACAAGGTATATAGAAATGTTTACTAATAAACAATATATATATATTTTTTCGTTTTACTTAAATATACATACATATTTTGTTATATGAAAGGGATCATATATTCTCGAATTACCATAATTGAATTTATAAATTTATTTAAATTAAGAATTTTGCTTTACAAATTTTGAATACGTTTAAAATTTTGAAGCATTTTCTACAGGAATTCAACTTTTTACTGGGTCATAAAGTCAGCTCAAGCAGACACGTTTATTGCTCACTGGCAAAAGTAACAAAATGAACAGAAACAGAGAGCACAGAAGGGATATGAGAAATCCCACCCTCAGCAATAGAGACGCATTAATTGTTGGCGGCACGCGACGCGTTTTATTAGACTGTTGCTCCTTTCGACTGGCAAACACTTTAAATTCAAATAGAGCACAACAACAGCTTCAATAGGGCAATGGCAACAAGTGAAAGCAGATGCGAAGTGTAAGTAAAACAATACAGTGAGGACTCCAAAGATGGACAGACATGACGACATCCAAATAAAGAATGTTAGCCAAGGCAGCTGATTAAAATATTTTCGTAAAAAGTAATAAATATTATAAAAATATTGTTTTTAAATGCTTTAATTTAATTGTTTTCATTTCAGCTTTGATAAAAATCAATATTTACATTTTGTCTCAAAGTTGATTAACTAAAACAATTGAAGTTCGATTTACATATTAATCAAATCGAAAAAATTATCGATGACTTTTCAGCAAGCGGGTTACAGCGCCATCTACATATCAAATTTTAAAATTTTATGAAGTATTGCAGATGCACGCACAAGTTACTCATAATAAATAATGTTCAATAAAGGTATCTGTTCGTTAGAGGCGATTTCACTGTACATCCTTTCTACTGCTTCGGTTGCTTCTGTTGCCCTAGAGTCTGTGCCGCTGGCATTGGCGCTTGGCATTGCTCGCCTAACCTTCGACATTCGCATTGTAATTGACGATGCGATCAAATTCGGCTTCGGCTCAGCGAGGCGCCGATTCACCCACTACAATCACATTGCCGCCCACTCCACCCACTGACGAATGCCTGCCATTGGTCAAGGAGCTCGAACCCGATTGCCTAATTATTCCGTAGCCGAGCAGCCTGGGCGACTATATAAAAGAGCTCCAGAGCCTGTGCATCGAGTTCATTCGATAAACGCGACTTGCAAAGGACAAAACTTTCTGTTATTCCTCAAAAGAATTTGTGAAATTCAAGTTTCAATTCAATTTGTTAAAGGTGCATTAAATATTTTCATAATTAAAGCATATGGTTAAAGTGAACTTCAATTTATACAAAATTTATAAATTAAATAGTTTTCATTCTTATTATTGAATAACTTTAAATGGAGCTATCTAGTTTCATACATATGTTTATATAAGTATATTTCGACTTAAAGTTTTCGTAGTTTTATATAAATTATTCGAATAAATTGGTGACGCCTCATTATCTTTTGTAAATGTGAAGTGAATTAATTTCTCATTTCCAAGTCAAAGTGAATTGGTGGAAAAGTACTTTGAATTGAAATTAACTTGAGAACAAAATTTTCGATTTTAAATATATTGAAATACTTTTCGGCGTAATGTGAATTTGAAATTTTATGTGTGCACTTAAATCAACATTTTCGATATCTGTAATACCCAAATAAGATGATAAATGTAGAGGAACTTAAATGTTTATAATACTTAATCAGTTTCAACGGATTTTCAAATGTGAAAACTCTGATTTTATTTCATAAAATATATTAGCAATTTAAATGATACAATATTTTATGGAAACAAAATTATATTTTAAATATCCAATTTTAATTGTAATATTTTTTCTCAGGCTTTCAGTTTGCTTATAAAAATTTGTGATATTTAGTTTGAAACTTCGAACTATTTCTGAAGAAGTTTTTACTATATTCTTGTTGGATGCATAAATAAATAATAAAAATTGCTTCGGTTATAATACATAATACCAGGAAACCAAACGGTTTTTGTGGTCTTAAACCAATTAAATGTGAAGTCAAGCAGAACCAGGCGTGACTACCCCTTGAAAGTATATAGAATCGTGTGCAAAACGATGCACTGAATTTACCTGACCATGCCTGTATGTTCGTTCATAAACCCCAACAACTAGGCAGTTAAAGTCTTAAATATTTATTGTGTACCATACGCAATTAAAATAATTGATAAATTTATTATACATTTATATTCTTATATATAATTAAATTTATTATTTTTTTTTGGTTTTCTTTTTAGTTTTTCCCAATTTGCTTATAATCGATCCAGAAAAATTTCAATTTAACTTTTCATGAATATTTTGAAAGAGGTTGCCATTCCAAGCACCGACTTTAACTTTATTCTTAAATATTTTATAGATTTCTATTATGTTTGAAAAATTGCATTAAAGCAGTATATTTAATTGGCAAAATCCTATAACTTTGCCCTCTGCACAGTTTAGATTATCATGTCGTAGTCGAGCACTTCCGACAGTTGTAGTCAATTTGTACTTGAGTCTATATTTAGTCTATTCTTATGTAGAGGCCTGCATATTTTACAACCTGTTGCTGCCTAGCCGCATTTCTTACAGCATTAATATAATATTTCAAGCCATTCATAGACAGCATGTGGCTATTGATGCTAACTACGTGTTTGGGTCTGGTGCTGTTCGAAATCGGATTTGGTTTGCACTTGGCCGGCAAGCGGAGCGACATCGAGTCGTGGGAGGGCATCGAACGGGCTGTGGACGGCATCAGTCACCAGGCGAGGTCGAGCAATGGCAACTTCAATGGCCACTCGAATGACAGCATCGATATCAAGGTGTTCGAGCGCATCCGGGAGACCAAAAATCAAGCGGGCTCACTCAACGAGAGAGACCTCAGCCGAATGCGTGTCTATAATGTGGGCGTTTTAATGGCCTCCCATTTGGGTAAGTGGATGGATGGGGGATAGAAGATGGTGGATGGAGGATGGAGGAGGGTGAGCATTGAGCTTATTCTAATGACATCTTATTACAGACTCGCCCTTTGACCTGGAACGTTGCGGACCTGCCGTGGACCTGGCGCTGGATCAGATTAACAAGCGCTTCCTCAGTCCGCACAACATTCGCCTGGTCAAGAAGAAGGCTAGGTAAGGGTTCTGGGTGTCCTGGGTGGGGATGACTGCCAGTCGCACCTGTGGCGTGCTGCACGCTTTAGTTAATTACTCGAATTTCATGGCCGCACTCTGAGCCTAATCCAGGATATGCACTTCAGCCACAAATTGTTGGCTCTTCCCATTTTCCCATTTTTAATTGCCGATTTGCCTTGGCAGCTATCCGTCTTGCTCGGGCGCCAAGGCACCGGGACTGGCAGCCGATATGCATTTCAAGGACGATGTCATTGCGTTCATAGGACCTGCATGCGCCTTTGCTCTGGAGCCGGTTGCTCGCTTGGCCGCCTACTGGAATACGCCCATTATCACGGGCATGGGCGATCAGGTGAGTGCGGGGTCACAGCACGTATGCGCCCTGGCTACCACAATCCAGCCCAGCTGCAGCTCCAGCTGGATGAAACAGCGGGAGTCCGTCAATTATGTGCCTGCTCCGCTGACCTCCTAAATGCCAGCTAATCCCTCGCGGAACAGTTCCAGCTTCTGAATCATTGTGGCAACTAGCTGATGAGCCCGCGATTCAATATACCTATTTCTATTTCCTTCTCTCCCCAAGCCACCGTCATCAGAGGGCGAGCTCACCGTCACCTCCGGCATGCTGGGCAGAATACACAAGTGGAAGAACGAGAGCACGGTAAGCGAACTGCCTCAAAGCCCATTAATTAGTTAAGCTTAATTACAACACGAAAACGAGAAACTGACCCGACGACAAATAAATGCGATTGCAGGTAAATGATTCGAAATTAAACGAATGTTTGTATGGTAACTATTAGCATATAGATCAATTTCTGGATAGAACACTCTAGACATCGAATCAATTGTCGGTTCTTTGATAACAGATTGAGAATTCGTAGCTAGGGATGAAAGATCTGCTACTACTATTCAATTTTCACTTCTGCTTCGATTAGCCACTTCTATTATAATTTTCTGATACGCTTTCTATACCTACTACTTACTACTACTTCTGCGTTTGCTGCTACTATTACTACTATTAGTACTACGACTCTTGCTAATACTACTACTAATTCTACTACCAGTTCTACTACTCTTTCTAATACTACTACTACTATTAGTACTACGACTCTTTCTAATATTACTACCAGTTCTACTACTCTTTCTAATACTGCTACTACTACTATTAGTACTACGACTCTTTCTAATATTACTATCAGTTCTACTACTCTTTCTAATACTACTACTACTTTCACTGCTACTATTATTTCTTGTACTACTAACAGTACTACTACTCTTTCTATTACTATTAATACTACTCTTTCTAATACTACTGTCGCTATTAATACTACTATTACTTTCTTTCTTATACTACTGTCACTATTAATACTACTATTTCTAATACTACTATTACTATTAATACTACTTCTTCTTATCCTACTATACTATTACTGCTTACTATTGCTGCTACTATTATTACTAGTAGTAGTATTAAATACTACCATTACTCTTATTAATACTGCTACTTATTTTACTGCTTCTATTACTACTTGTACTACTACTACTACTAGTATCATTATTACTACTTGTACTACTACTACTACTAGTATCATTATTACTACTTGTACTACTACTACTACTAGTATCATTATTACTACTTGAAATATTACTACTATTACGTTTACAACTACTATTACTATTTTTACTGCTACATCGGCTACACCGAAGCAATAGCAATAGAAAACTACTTCTACTAGTATTGTTTAGATTATTATTCCAGCAACTTCTTTTCTTATTATTAATTTCTCTCATAATTAACTAATTAATCAATCTCTTACTTCAGGGCATGTTCAAAGACAAGTCAAAGTACCCCACTCTGACCCGAATGTCCTACTGTCAGTGCCGCCTGAAGCTGGTCTTTGCCAGCGTCTTTCGGCAGTTCAACTGGAAGCATGTGGCGCTGCTGGTGGATCGATCGGAGCTATTCTCCCTGACGGTGGGCAAGAATCTGGAGTACGGGCTGCGACAGGAGGGACTCCTGAGCTTTGTGCGCGAGCTGAATGGCAATGAGGAGGAGATATACGAGAACTATCTCAGGGATGCCAGCATGTATGCGCGAGGTAAGAAGAGCTTTATCTCATATACATATAAGATGAATGCAAATAGATCTCTTGTGAAATCCCTGCAGTGGTCATATTGTCTGTTCGCGGCGTCCTCGTGCGGAAATTCATGTTGGCCGCCCACAGCCTGGGCATGACGAATGGGGAGTGGGTGTTCCTGGACGTGGAGATATTTCAGAGTGCCTACTGGGGCGACAAGGACTGGGAGCTGGGCGACGAGAATGATATGAAAGCACGAAAGGCATACGAGGCGCTGCTGCGCGTCTCCCTGCTGCAGCCGACCAGTCCCACCTTCCAGGACTTTGCGGACAATGTGCGCGAGAACGCGCTCACCGAGTACAATTACACCTTTGGCGAGGGCGAGGAGGTGAACTTCTTCATTGGGGCATTCTACGATGGCGTCTACCTGCTCGGCATGGCCCTCAATGAGACTCTGACCGAGGGCGGCGACATCCGAGATGGCGTTAACATCACGCGTCGCATGTGGAACCGCACATTCCACGGGATCACCGGGCATGTTAGGATAGATGACAACGGTGATCGCGATGCTGACTATTCCATTCTGGATCTCGATCCCATCAATGGCAAATTCTCTGTGGTGGCGCATTATTACGGTCTTCATAGGTGAGTCCAGGAAATATATTTCAATTATCCCCTCTTGAGTTGAACGTTTCTTTTCCTTTCAGAAAATATGCAGCGGCTCATGGTAAGAAGATCCATTGGCCCGGTGGTCGAGAGGAGCCGCCACCGGATATTCCGCCCTGTGGCTTTTTGGGCAACGCTCCAGATTGTCATGGCAACGGTAAGTTTATCTAGGTATTTCTATGCAATTTATACAATTCTATCTAATATGCCCTTTAGAGACCACAATCATGTACTCCGCATTCGGACTGGCTTTGTTTTTGGGCCTTGTGCTTCTGGTTATTTGCTTGCTGCAAAAGTAAGTGAAAAACGAAAATATTTTTAAATAAAAAGGTTATTTGCTAATTGAGGTAAATACTTAGGTCTTATTTATTCTTACTCTCTTTACTGAAGGCAGTGAGATATGAGACTCAGAGCCCATGCGAACTCCCACTATCTCAACACATTTTTTGCTCCTCACTCCTTCACTCAGTCTCAATTCAATTGGACTCTATTTTCTATAAGCTATTATTTACGATATTGAATATCGTAAAAGACTTTTTAGAAGACTTTTTAAGATTATTTACTATATCTAATATCGTATATAAAGAAAATCCTTCAAAATGATTATTTTCCATATTGAATATCGTAAAATCTGGGAGCTAATTATTAACTGCATATAACTAATTTTGAAAGAGTTACTAAAACATCGAGCATAATTTAATTCATAAGGATTATATGTTTCAATCTAAGTTATTTACGCTTTGAATAACGCTACAAACCTAAAATTGACTTTTTTAATACGCCAAGCTTTTCGTCCATTTAAAATCATTCACATTAACTTAAGTTATTGAATATCGTAATTTATGAAATGATTAGTTTGCAGATAGAGTTAAGGCTAGCCCCTTATGAAAACCCATAACTGCTCACTCTCCGTTCCATTTTGTTTATTCCAGGCAAATGAAGCTCAGCAAGGAGCTGCACAATATGTCGTGGCGCGTGCGACCGGAGGATGTGCTCATCGAGATGGGTGGCATGTTTGGCTCCAAGGGCGGGCTGCAGCGGCTGGACGTGGAGAATATATCGTTGCAGCAGTTCGGCATCCACTCGGGCCGTGCGTCGATTGCCAGCTTCGCGTCGCTGCCGCCGCAGGTCTACACGACGATTGGACAGTTCAAGGGCGAGCGCGTGGCCATCAAGAAGGTGAACGTGAAGAAGGTGGAGGTGACCTCGACGCTGCTCTGGGAGATCAAGCAGGCGCGAGATGTGAGCCACGAAAACACGGTGCGCTTTGTGGGCGCCTGCATCGATTTGCCCAGGCCAACGGTGCTCATCCTGACGGAGTACTGCTCGCGCGGCAGCCTGAAGGACGTGCTGGAGAACGAGGCCATCGAGCTGGACTGGAACTTTCGCATGTCTCTGATCCACGACATCGTCAAGGGCATGAGCTATCTGCATAACTGCGATGTGGTTGCTCACGGCAAGCTGCGCTCCTGCAATTGCCTGATCGACGGACGCTTCGTCCTCAAGATCTCCGACTTTGGCCTGAGCACACTGACCACGCCCTCCGACTTTGTGCGGGATCAGAACTATTATACCAGTAAGGAGTTAGACATATTCTCTTCTTGTTGCTCACAAAGTTGCTTTTGCAGAGCTGCTGTGGATAGCCCCGGAGCTGCTGCCCATGACCTCGATACCCGGCTGCCCGGCCACCCAGCGTGGCGATGTTTACTCCTTCGGCATCATTCTCGAGGAGATCGTCAATCGGGGCGGACCCTACCAGGAGGCGCGCCAACAGGGCATGGACGTGCACACCATTCTGCACAAGGTGCGGCAGTGCGAGTATCCGCCTTTCAGGCCACTCATACGGGAGCGGGAGTGCCCGCCGGATTTGCTGGTGCTGATGGAGAAGTGCTGGGCCGACAACCAGGAGGAGCGGCCAGCGTTCTCTACGATCCGAAGCAACATACGCACGATTATGAAGTGAGTGGTAGTCGATCTCAGCTATCCGTTGGCTCTCCTATATATATTTTATTGTTCTTCAGAGGATTCTGTGAGAATCTAATGGACGATTTGCTGAATCGCATGGAGCACTATGCCAACAATTTGGAAAGCCTTGTGGAGGAGAAAACACGCCAGCTGAGCCTGGAGAAACAACGCACCGAGGAGCTCCTCTACCAGATCCTGCCACGCCCTGTCGCCCAGCAGCTAATGGCTGGCGATCTGGTGGAGCCCGAGGAGTTTAGCAGCGTCACCATCTACTTCAGCGACATCGTGGGCTTCACCGAGCTCTGCGCACGCAGCACACCCATGGACGTGGTCAACTTTCTCAACGATCTCTATAGCACATTCGACCGCATCATTGGCTTCTATGATGTCTACAAGGTGAGCTGCCCATGCCCCGAGGCGGATTGGAGTATTCATTGTTGTCTTAATTGCTGCCCGTAGGTGGAAACAATTGGCGATGCTTACCTGGTGGTCTCTGGGCTCCCGGAGCCCAATGGCGATAAGCATGCTCGAGAGATTGCGCTGATGGCCCTGGACATACTTCAGGCTGTCTGCTCGTTCAATCTGAGGCACAAGCCGGACTACAAGATACAGATTCGCATCGGCATGCACTCGGGCTCTGTCTGCGCCGGCGTCGTGGGCAAGAAGATGCCACACTACTGTCTCTTTGGAGATACTGTGAATACCGCTTCACGTCTGGAGACGACGGGCATGCGTGAGTGAAAATTAGTTTATTAACTATTTATAAGCAGATCAAAGTGAAAATTGTTAAGCTGAGCTGGTCGGGAACGATTATTGAAAATAATGTTGAACAGGCAAACGATTGCGTCTGTCTGTCTATCCGTTCATCTGTCTGTTTCATCATCCATGCTTTGCTCTATCTCTCCGTCGATCTGCTTGTACATCCGTATGTGTGTATGTTTATCTCTCCTTTGATCTGTATGTTGGTCCATCCGAAAGTCTGTCAGTCCCCCAACTGTCTGTTTGTTCGTTCATACATCTACTTATCCGTCTGCCCGTTCTATCGCCACTGGCTATTCACATTCAAAATCTTTAATGCTCCAATCAACACAATTAAAATTGATCTCAAGCTATATTGATATATATATAAATACATATATTAATTTGGTAAGCCCGTTGCCCGAATCCATATTCCATATATCTATATTTTTTTCTCCATTTAGCTCTTTAACCTTTTCTTTATATAAAAATCCTTTTCTTTTCTTAATATAAAAATATGTTTCTACACTCGAGCACCATTTAATAGATCTCACCCGATATTTTTACTTATTTTCTCACTCTCTGTGTGTCTATTCCACCTTCCATCATAGCTGGCAAAATTCATGTTTCGTCGGCCACAAAAGCCATCCTGGATAAATTTGGCACCTTTCAGCTGGAGCATCGCGGCGATGTGGAGCTCAAAGGCAAGGGAACTGTCACCACCTATTGGCTAAATAGCACCACCGAGGCGGATGCACGTGCACCCACTCCGCCTCTGCTGAACAACGACGAGGTGCCTTTCCCCTTGCTATTTGCCGGAATGGGGAAGTGAGCCAGCGCCGAGTGTTCCTTGCCCATCAGCTCAAGTACAAATCCAGCTTAGTTAATTTTGTCTAAAAAGTTGCTCTAATGTGTTGCTTATTCATGTTGATATTCTATGAATTATTTGATGTGAGTCTATTGGTTTCGGCCCGTCATCTCTGGTTTGGTCTGTCAGACCTTACAAAATTGGTGTCAATATTCATATATTTATAGTATATATTATAAATCTTGATTATAGTCAATTTGTACTCGTAGTTAGCCAATTTTAGAGCATAGTGTTGCCGGTTACAATCGATTTATAATTGCATCCATGTGCTTTACATCTATAAATACCTGACACAGAATTGAATTCAATGCATTCATAAATTAAAGGCGCTGTGATAGTTATATGAAATCTAGCGCACAACTTTAAGAAGAAATCACATGCATATATATCAAAATATATATTAAATGATATATTAAAATTTAATAGGTATTTATTATAATAGTAGTATCAACGAGCTCAAAAAGTTTATAACTCAAAAATTTTTTAGTAAATTGTTTATACATATTATTGTACTATATATTATTCACTCTGATGTGACTATATACTACTTACATCTGGAGATATTGACTCATGTATATCGAAATCTAATGAAATTTTAAGAACTTAACACGTAATTAAAAAGCGTGTGAAAGCATTTGGAAGTAAAACACCCAAGAACTGTAGCTGTTTAACTTCTACAGTTGATATATGAAAGAAATTTTGGGTTTCTTCAATACATTCAATTTGTATTTAGACTACGAACAAGTATTATGTAATCAGTTGCTTTCGACTAGTTATTTATTGACTCAGCTGCAAGTTAGCTTTGTCATTAGTTTCGATCATTCCTGCTTAAGTGTACTTAACTGTTGTAATATTGTCTGAATAGAGTTAGTAAGTTATTTAAACAAAAGCTTTTGCTGGCTTTAAGTGAATATTGTGAATTAAATGTTGAATATTTGTACATTCGAGATATCAAATCTTGAAAAAAATTAAATTATTAATTTGTATGCTCCTCAATATATACTGTTCCTAATTATGTTTGTTGTAATCAAATAATTATTCGAAATAATTATTTCCACATATTTCTGATGATTTTCCAAGGCATATAACTTCATAAATCAAATATTATATAGTTATATTGATATGTGTTTGTATGCAAGATGTATATGTGTATATGCATAAAAATTATTTGTCTATTTATAAGATGGTAGTCAAAAACTTGGTAGTCTACAAATAAAATGTATATGTATAAATAAATAATATATTATTTTGTATATTCACGCTGACGTCTACAATTTTTCAGCATATATATATGTACGAGTATATTATCAGATTAAAACATCTATGTTTTACTAATAAAGTATAAAATATAACTAAATATTATACTTTCATTATTTAAATAAAAAAAATATATTTGTGTCTGATTTATGTATGTATATTTATTGATAAAGAGTATTTTCTCCAAATTTATAATAATAAATATACTGAAAATATACTACGTCTCTGATAAAATGTATGAGTATAATAAATAATTATAAATTAAATAATAAATAAATTAAAAATATTGGTTCACTATATTTTTAAACGAATACAAATTTATAATTATTTATTATATTCATTCTCTATAATCCAATGAATATATTGGTTTTTAGCTCAAATTTGTAGTTCATATTTTATTTGAATTTAAAATATTTGTTGATTATATTATTAATTTTTTGTTTTAATTAATTTTTAGTTTCTTTTTAACAAATTAACATGTTGATATCAGTTTTTCCATAATGCTGTAGCTTTTGTTAGATAAGGGAGTTTTTTGATGTGCTTGTTTCTTATGGCCTGCGAGCATTAGGGGTATGTTGCACATCCTTAGTTATTTATGAAAAAGCTCTGTCGAAAGCTTTCGCAGGACATCCCTAACGGCATTTTAGCTTATTGCCAAACCAGCTGCTTTATTCCACCAGGAAATCAGCTGTTCGAATGCCAAAAGCTTGTGAGACGAAAAATATTCGTGAAAAGCTAATTGAAAAGGAATCGGAAATAAAAACAAATGCAAGAAAATCTTAAATAAAATGTATTTCCACTGCAAAAAACTAAAAGTGAATACGAGTCGCGCCTGTGAGATTCCAATGATAAATGGCCAATAGAGCTGCAAGCGTTGAGCTCAGAGATACTCAAGGCTAAGCCGCTGGGCAGGCAATCAAACAATTATCGCAGGAAACTGGACACAGGACTCACAGCATCATGAAGATATTTAGATTGCGCTCCGTGAAGCTGGTGCTAATTGGCTTCATCATAGTCAACTTGGTGTTCTTCTATTACACCTGGAACTCGTTCCTCTGGCGGCGCATTAGCCGCGCTCTGACGGGCGAAGCCACCGACACAAAGCCAAAGAGCGAGGCGGCCCACGGGCCGAAGATCTCGCCGAAGGACAAGGCACGCAATGCCAACAAGCACATAAGGAAGTCCATAACAATTGTCTTCTACGGGCACTACAATTTCGAGCAGGATCTGCGGCCCAGCATCGAGAGGTGAGTAGAGCTCAGACTAGATACAGCTTATCCATATTCACTCTTGATTCTCTCTCTCTTTCTCTCTTAGCATATTGGATGTCGTGCCGAATATGCCCATTCTGGTGCTGCAGGAGGGTGCCGCCGAGTACGCCTATCCGCCGGTCAGCTTTGAGCGCAATCTGACCAGCGGCGAGGAGCAGACGGTGCACTTCATGAGTCTGGCCTTCGACGTGCGTCGCACGCGTGAGCAACTGAATCCCCTCGCGGCTGTGCACACCAAATATGCTCTGCTGATGCCGGACAGCGTGCGGCTGAGCAGCAAGAATCTGCTGCAGAAAATCCTGCGAGAGATGAACACAAAGTCAGGCAAAGCACCGGCTCAGCGTGTCACAGTTGCGCCGGATGAGCAAGTGCGTCGCCTGCTGCTCATCCCATTTGCGGGCAACTCGAAAACCTACAGCAGCTGTGCGAAACTCAACCTGGACTTGCCCAATTGGACCATGGAACTGGAGGCGCGCAATGATACTACGCATTGCGATTTGGTAGGAGATTGATAGCTAATATATGCATATGTATGTGTATATATATTTATGATCTCTTTCCAGTTTTTGCAGAAGCATGCGATACTCATCGATGTGGCCACACTTGGCGCCATGCCGGAACCTTTCGGCTTGCCCTTTCCGGAAATGCTCTACGTGCAGGCGAAGATTGCTAATCTAACGGTAAATTATATATATCTGCCTACAACATTGCTTTATATACCCGTTCACAAGGTGAAAGGGGTGTATTGGCTTAGAATCAATCAGTCCCCGAATACATAGGCCATTTAGGGCGTAGCGATGGGTATCTTCTATCGGTATATCTTGTATTATTATCAGATATGTATTTGTCATGAGATGTTTCCCCAAATCTATTGTCCGGAATAAATTACATTTTCTGCTATTCCAGCGATATATTTAAGGAAATTAGGCTCGTTGGCATCCTGACAAATCGAATAAAATATCTTCTACTGTATTAGCGCAAGAAAAACGTAATCTGTTATATGTAGTATATAGGTTAACCTGTTGAGCCTCTAGGTGTTGGGATCGTGTTAAAACATTCTCTTTTCAGATATCTATCATGCGGATCTCCAAGTATTGCACATGAATAACTGTTTTCTTTTTCAACAAATAGACGGATAAAATTTAAATTGTCTGAATTTTGTTATAGTTTCTCTTATATCCGACTTCAATGCTCTAATCCTTTATCATGTTTATTTCTAATCAGATTTTCTCCTCTTCCACAGACGAGTGTTTTCCCTCAGTCCTTTTTGGAGGGCCGCAAGCTGTTTGCCTCGTTCCACACCAAACAGCGGCGCCTGGAGCTGCGTCGTCGTCAGTTTCGTGAGATGTACAAAAAGTTACAGATCAAGCGCCTGGTAAGGCGCACCCACCGACTGGGCGGCAAGGCCGCGGCCCGTGAAGGCAACTGGCAACCGCACAGCCCGGTGCTGGATGCACAGTTCTCGTACTCCAACTTTAGTCTGCCCGCCGTCACGGACATCGATCTGTTTGGTTGTGAGCGAACGACAAAGTCGTGCATTGGCACCGTCTACAACAGTCGCCCGTTCTACTACTATCTGGGCAAGCACACGCCGCCGTGTTGCCTGGACAAGCTAAAGACCACCTTCAACCACGTGCTCGAGGAGTTCGAGAATGTGGGCATACGCTACTGGCTGGACAACTACGCGCTCAAGAGCGCCATCGAGACGAATCAGCTGTCGCCGGATGCCTACGACATTGACATCAGCTTCAATGTCCAGGACCTGGAGCGCTCGAACGCCATGAAGAAGTCGCAGAGCAAGCCACATGTGGACAATGAGGGCTTCTACTGGATCAAGGCGACGGACGGGCACTACTTCCGCGTGCAGTTCTCCAAGGTCAACCAGGTGGGCGTCAATCTGCTGCCCTACGAGATCAGTGGGAATGAGGTGCGAGCGAGCGGCTTCTTCGGCTGGAAGGCGACCACCTTCGCCTCCGACTACTTGCATCCCATGTCGACGGTGCTCTTTCTGGGCAAAAGCATCATGTGCCCCAACAATGTCTTGGAATATCTCGAGGGCAAGAACATCAAGGTCAAATCTGATAATGTGGCCCCCGAGGAGGAGTAGATAGATAATCTTTTACCTTAGCAGAAATTGCATTCAGTTTTTAGCATCAGTTGAATTTTTGTAAAAGTTGAAAAACTTTCTACTATATGCACACTTCCTGTACATGTACGATATATGAGAGCGTTATTTTAAGGTATTTGTAAAATTGAGGTTATGTGTTCCTTTCTCTATACTTTTCTCTCTGTGTTTATAGCTAGTTCACGTCGATGTCTATATATATATATATATACATATAGGTAAAGCTAAGTTAGTGAGTGAGCATGTAAATTTCTAAAGCCAAAGTTCTCGGAACTACCAGTCTATACAATAAAGAACTCTGTACTATTCGTACCAATTCAATATATGTTAACTAATCAAAATATAATACACTATCACACAAATACAAGTAGGCTCCATTAGCTCTAGGTGTTCACAGTGGTAGCGGCATCGGGTGCTTGAGCACCTTCCGGCAATTCTCGCACTAAGGATAACAGCTTTTCCAGTTTGGCATTTTGCAGTGTAAGCTGATCGAGATAGAGCTGCTTCTTCGGCGGCTTGACCATGAGGCGGAGATTCGGTGAGAGCTTGAGCGAGGTGGTAACGCCCCTGGAAAGCGAAAAAGGAAAGGAGTATGTAAGCCAGGTAGAGCACTCTCTCACAGCTCATACTTACTTCTCGTCGCCCACAATGATGAAGGGCAGCTTCTCGTTGAAGGCCAGGCGAGTGAGTTTATTCTTTCTCTTCGGCACTACCGCCTGAACGCATATGGGCTGGTACTTATTCACGTTCAGATCGAAAACATGCACCTTGCCCTCGGTGGTAACAGCCGCGAATACGGTGCTGGAATACGGTGCCCACTTGACATCGCCCACGGCGGAGCCGAGGTCAAAGATGAAGAGCGGATCGGGCCGCATATCCTCCCACACCTTGACGCGCCAATCCCCGCTGCAGGACACAAATATGTTCGAATCGAAGCGGTTGTAGTCGATGCGATAGACGGACATATTGTGCGCATCATAGGTCATCAGATACTTGGAGCTAAACAGCGTGCTGCACTTGTAGATCAAGCCGATCTCGGTGCCGACGAGAAAGACGGTCGTATTTGTCGGATGGAACTGAACGCAGGAGCCGCCGGTCCTGAGCAGTACCTTTGTGCCATCTGGCCCATCCGCGATGTCGTTCTCGATGTAGAGCGTAATTATGGTGGTCACCCACAGCTTATTCTGCATGAGAATCCAGCTGAACACACAACCATCGGAGGACACCGAATAGAAGTTGATTTCGCCATCGGCCATGTCCGGACCCCACTTGATTTGCCACACGCACTCCGCGTGCTTACACTTGACGCCCCTGGACACATACATCGGCGCCTTGCAGCCATCGCGTAGATCGTAGACGCACACGTTGCCGTCGTAGAGGCCAAGCACCACGAGGAAGGGGTAACTCGGATGGATGTCACAGCACATGACACCGCAGTCAGTTTGAACTAGAGTGAGGAACGGAAGAGGAGATATAGAGATAGAGAGAGAGAGAGATAGATTGAGAGGGAGACAGAGAGATAGAGAAAGAGAAAAAGAAAGAGGCAGACAGAGAGAGAGATATAGAAGGAGAAAGAGAGAGACAGACAGAGATAAAAGAAGGGAGTGAGATAGAGAACGAGATAGAGGGAGATAGATAGAGAAATATAAA